ACTCCGGTCTGGTCGATGACATGACCAAGAAACCTGACTGACTTCCGCAGCAGATGACACTTTTTTGGACTCAGCTTGAGATTGTTGTCTCTCAACCTTTGAAAAACAGCTCGGAGCCGGCAGAGGGCTTCCTCTTCAGTGGGAGCAAAGACCAGGAGGTCATCCAAGTTGCAGAGCAGACTGGTGAAGTTGAGGTCACCAAAGATGTTCAGCATCATGCGCATAAATGAGGCTGGGCTATTGCAGAGCCCTTGTGGCATCCGGTTGTATTCGTACAGGCCAACAGGCGTTGTGAAAGCGGTGTACTTCTTATCCTCCTCACACATTGGAATGTTGTAAAACCCAGAGGTTAAGTCCATCGTGCTGAAGAAGGCATTGCCCCCAAGCGCGGCAAGGCAATCTGCTTGGTGAGGGAGTGGGTGCGCATCCTTAAGCGTTCGCGCATTCAACCACCTGAAGTCCGTAGAGATCCTCAATCCACCATCCTTCTTCCAGACCATGACGAGGGGGGATGCATACTCGCTGATGGATTTGCGAATAATCCCTTTCTCCTCCATGTCAGTGAGCAGGGGGTACTCTTCTGTAAGGCATGCGGAATGGGCATTCATCAGTCAGGTGGATCCGATGTACAAAGCGTTTAGCTTCGCCACAGTCAGGCGGGTGTCTAGAGAAGATGTCCTCATACTGCTCAATTAGCTCAACAAGCTCTCTCTTTGAATGTAAGCTGGCTGAGTCAATGTCAAGATCACCCAAACCTAGGGAGCACAACCTGTCATTCAAGACAGCCTCAGTAGCGGCTGGCCCACTGACTGGTACCTGGGCCATACTCGCCATCTTGCAGGAGTCCTGCTGGAAATCAAGGTCCTCCACCGAAAGGCAAGATGAAACAACAGCAACCCTCGAGTTGCATTTCAAGGTTAGCGGTTTTGAGGAGAGATTGGTCATCTTCAATGGCACCCACCAATCACCCCACATGGATGTGATCACCCGGCCAACAAGAACGTCTCTCGGCCCAGACCCAGAGGTGCAAGGTTCCACGATAATCGTGCTGCCTGGAGAGACTGGCACATTGCTGGGCAGCCTGCCCCATACCAGATGCTCATACTGTGGGAGTAGTGTCACAGCACGAGGCAGTTTCACAGTGCCAATTTTGTCAGGAACGTCCTCACCCCTCCATCTCGTCAAGGAGCCACCAGTTTTCAGGGGTGATGGCAGTGATAAATTTTCCATTCATGAATGGGTGAAATGATGGAAATGTACTTTGTAAAACGCAACACACCAACAGATCAGCGATCACGTGACATATTGGCTAGGTTGATGGGGAAGGCTAAGGATGTAGTGAGGGTCACCCTACGTCACAACCCCTCACTTGACCATGTCCAGGTTCCTGAATTGATATTTGACATTCTGAAACAGCACTTTAGTGTATTGACTTACTCTTCTATGCCTATGGCTGACTTCTATAACACCAAACCATTACAACATGAGGGAGTATTGGCTCTTTTTTT